CTTCAAAATCTGATTTGTTAACGCCACAAAATTATCACGTGACTGCCGATTTTTTATGGCACCACTAACCTATCTGTAATTGTCGGATGATGCTGAAATTCACGTGATCATATGATGATCTTCCGAAACAAACCTAAAAGTGCTTATAGAACCCTAGTATCACAAACTAAAAACTTTCACTGTTAATGTTATGGTTAGGGTTTTGGTATGACCATATTTTAATTACCCTAGTGGAATTAGATGTAATATATGTAAAATCAAAAAAAACCTTACATACCCTAACCCTAACTCTAACACCAACGGCGGCGCTAGGTGTTTATGCAGAAGATCATATCATGTGATCACGTGAATTTCAGCATCATCCGATTTCAGCATCATCCCCGACAGTAATTAACAATTAAAATTTCAATTCACTAAAATTATAAAAATTTATATATATATCTATTTGTATTTTATAACATTTTATTAGGGATTACACCAAGTCTTTTTGAGCAATTCAAGCCTCAAGACCAGGTTGTTGATGAATATACATTTACTAAATTTTTGGGCCATGATGAAGCCAAAAGACAACTTCATGATCATTGGTCATCTTGGGTAACAGAACATGATATAAAAAAGCTTGCATCATACGGATTAAATCATCTCAGGTATGAAATTCCGTATGTAATAAAGTACTTAGAGACTTTCTGTAACATTTTTTGGAATTTATATAGAATACCTGTTGGTTATTGGTCTTTTGATAAAAAGCCAACCGAAATACATTATGGATGGTTTTCATTATTTATTGAAAGCAATTAGATAGGCAAAAAAATATGGCATGAAAGTCAATGTCAATTTGCATGGTGCTCCGGGTTCTCAAGTAAATATTTGTGACACAATTTATTGTCATGTAATATTTAGTACAATGTAGTATATTTTTAATCTTTGATATATTTTAATCACGATTTATTAGAATGGTTATTATTACACTGCCGTATTGAATGGCAAACTGGTAATAATATACAACGTACACTTAATGTTATCAAAAACATGACCGAGACATTTAGTCATCCAGAATTTAGAAATACCGTTACCACCATCGGTGTGCTTAGTGATCCTAAGTATATGTTAATTTTCAGTGATTTCTAATGTAAAATTTAATTATATAATAATATATTATAGGCCTCTTGTAAAAAATCAATTTAACAAATATTTTAAAGATGCTTATAAAATTATTCGTGAAAAAAATAGTGATATTTTAATATTGTATGACGCTACCTTTTTACAAGTTGACGAGTCGATAAAATCTTTTAAATTCAAAAAAGTTGCGTTGGATACCCATATATATAATTTATTTAATTGCAGTTTTGTGTTAACGTGCGTTAATGATCAATTTGCCAAAGTTTGTTCAAATTATTATAATATTTCTTCTACTAGTCAAGATGTTTTGAGATTTGTGGGAGAATGGTGATTAAATCATTTTCTTCTTTTTGCCATTATATTGCTTAAGTGCCTAATTATTAATTTTTAAATATGGACATAAATAGGGGTCTTGGTAGAACTGATTGTACGAAATGGTTGTTTGGTTATGGTAATGGCTCTGTGTGCAACTATCCTAGCAACATATGTCAGTCTGAAGACGATTATTGGAATTGGACTTCTGAATATAAAAGCTTTTTGAAGCAATACGCATCAGCACAAATGGACGCTTATGAAGCCGGGTAAACCTTGAATTTATACATTATACTATACATATATTTATTATTATTGTTTACTAATTATTCTGTTGTCAATAAAAAAGGATTGGTTGGGCCATCTGGAATTTCAAAACTGAAAGTTCTGCACATTGGAACTTTATGCTTGGAGTTGAACAAGGTTGGATACCACTTACTTATAAGCAAAGAACATATGATTGTTCCTGAAATTTTTGAAATTTTTGAAATTTTATTAAAAAACATGCTAAATTTGTTTGATTATTACGTTTATACTCTCCTCAATTTATATTATGAACCTATTTGTTTTATGTACTGAATTTTTAAGAATCAAAGAATTTTCGATATATCTAATATTATTATATTCAAGAAATTTAGACATAATTCAACTTGTAATACTTTTCGAATCTGTTTTAAGGAATTTGTAATTCATTTCTTTATCACAGAACAATGCGTTTAGAGACAATTGTTCCATAAAAAATTACTTATATAAAAAATTGATATTTGTTGGATACTGAATACTTTGCTCTTAAGGGTGGGAAATGGTTCCAAAAAGACCAGGTCTTGAAACCGTTTAAGGATTTGATCAACAGTTCGTTCCTAGTTCAAATTTACAGTTTAAAATAAAGTTCTAAAAAACCTTTCTAAAAGACCTAAGTTCCACAAACGGTTTATTGTTTCGTTTTTATTTGGAACTTTGGCATTTGTTCTGTACATGTAGTAGCACCAATGATAAAATACAACTTTCATATGATATAATTCGAACTTAAATTTGAACAGCTTCAAACTAGGACTTTTATTGAACAGAAAAATAGGACTGAACATGTTCTACAGTACAGCAGTATTTAAAAATAGCGCAGCTTAAAAAAAAAATTTTAACAGGACACGTAAACTAAGAATAAACAAAATGTTGCATATTGGTTGTGATAAATAAAATATTTTTAACTAATTTACGATAACAATAAAAAAACTATAGAACATTATTTATAAAGCGCATTGTTGCGAATTTATGAAATACATAAATCTGAATATTAATATGTGAA